TCAAAAATCCTCTCTGATCGGCGCAATCTTGTATTCTATCATTCTTGAGTATAGGCGGCATTGTTACACTACTCGTATATGGGGGGTCGCAAAAGTGGCGAGTTTGTATGTACATATGTATGTATGTTTATATGTTTGTTTCTGTACGAGTATACTTTTCCGCCAGCCAAAAGCTGGGACAAAATATCTACCAGTGTGGGAGGCACAAGCGAAATGCCAAATTGTTGTTGCTGTTGCTGGATGTTTTTTTTTGTTCTTTACTTTTGGTTGAAAACAATGATTGAAGACATTGGCAGTATAGTATGAATATTATATGTATGTACATACATACGTATACATATATATGTAAATACAAATGTATGTATTATACAAAAACGAATTTTCAACTGGCCTTGTGAGTATTAAAATATCTACACTATGTACGTACATATATACATATATACATATGTACATACATACATACATACATAGATTGTAGAACCCCTGACCCAAAGCTAGCAAACTAAGTATAAATTCACTTTTCATCGTGATTATGGCGTTGGTAATGCAAATGAGCTGGAATCTCGGTTTGACTAAAAAAAAAGAAGTTTTAGCGAGGGGGTGTCAATGTAGAGGTGCATAGGAAAGCAATATACTAAGTAAAAACACAAACATACATGCAATGTATGCAGGTACATTAAGATGGCCCACAAAAAAATGTTTGGTTCTTTCACAAGCGAATCATAAACTCTGGTGTTGGTTTTTCCATCAATTGTTGTCGCCAAGCTCAACTAAATGTAGGCCCAGGAAACGAGCTGTTTCGACGTGGTTGGAACAGAGGGACAGCGGATCATAAATTCTAGTCGATTTTCCCTAACTACCCCTAGCTGGCTGCCAACTATAAATACTGGATTACTTTGGGGTCAATTTTGATTTGCAGATATAACTTTCATTTTCGGGATATAGGTTCTTTGGGGCAATAGAAATATTATCGTCTACAATTTTTCCATAAGTTCAAAAAATATTGAGCATTTTAATGCAAAAAAATTGTTGAAAAAATTAGCAAATTTTTTTTATTTCCGAAATTCTCGAAAACCGCTCGAATGATTTTGTTTTCGTTTTCTTTGATCATAAACTCAAGATTTTTCGTTTCATTTGGTATATGGGAAGTATTGGTTGATATCTTCTAAGTATATTTATTTGATTCAAATATATGGGCATAAATAATTTTCCATACAAAATCACTTCGCCATCATTTTGCAAACACGTGCATGCGCTGGAAGTGAAAGAGGGAGACAAAAAGTATGTGTGTGTAGGTATTTCGGGTTTTTGAATAACAGGTGGCGCAATATTTATGAAAGGAAAAGGTGAAGGGGAATATGTAGATGAGGAATGCGATAAACATAAAAGTAAAAACATAGATAAATATAAAGAAAAATTTGAGGATGAGGATACCCATGATAAAAACATAGTAAGGTAAAACCGTTCCCTCAATTCGTCGGCCATGATTTTTTTTTTGAAGTTTGCCAACATTTTAAAATTATATAAAATTGAGAGTAAAAATAGGAATTGTTCGAAGTTGTTGTTGTTTGAGATTTAAAATGAGAATGTGTGTGTGAGTTTGTTTGTAAAATTTCAAAATTAAATTGTTTGCAAACGTCAAGAATTTGAAAAATTCCTCTCAGCGGTTCTACCTTCCTATTTTTTTATCATGAGGATACCGATAAAAGTAAAGATGAAGATAGAGGAAGAAATATTAAAATGAAGGTAATTATAGAGAAAAGGATATAGACAGACTCAATCTGGAGAATATTTCGGGATTTTAGAGATTTTCGGAATTCTCGGGACTTATCGATATAATAACACTATGCGGCAGTCAAAATCGGGATGGGATGAAACCAACGGGAAATGTTATATCGGTCAAAAACAAGTTATACGTGTCCCGTCGTTTCGCTGGGTCACGTCTAATAATCGATATATATATATAACTATCATATAGGGGAAATTGTCACCTTTGGTGGTCTTTTTTTGACATAACTCGAGAACCACTAGTCCGATTTTGCACAAACAAATTTAAAAAAATTAAAACTTACAATTCCTTTAATCTGTTCATACAACGTTTTTCTATATAATCAACAGTTTTGCCGGTAAAAATAAATGTATGAAGAAAAAAAATATTTTTTGCCTAAAATATTAAATTTTTTTAAAACTGTTGATTATATAGAAAAACGTTATATGAACAGATTAAAGGAATTGCAATTTTTAATTTTTTTAAATTTGTTTGAGCAAAATCGGACAAGTGGTTTTCGAGTTATGTCAAAAAAAGACCACCAAAGGTGACAATTTCCGGGACACGTATAACTTCTTTTTTACCGATATAACTTTCCCCGGTAGTTTGAACCCTTCCCGATCACTGACCCCTACCATTTGTCTCACAGTGTAATCGATATAATAATTTACATTTTAATCGATTTTGTTATCGATTTTTTAGATTTTGTTATCGATATTTTTATTTTTGCTATCGATTTCGCCATCGATTTTTTTATAGATTTTGTTATCGATTTTGCTATCGATATTAACGATACTTTTATCGATTTTCTTATCGATTTTGCTTTCGATATTCTTATCGTTTTTGTTATCGATATTTTTTTCTTAGTGTGTGCTTTCGTTTTTGACTTGGATGTGCTCTTAACCATACCACATATTCAACGTTTAAATTTGGCGCAATAAACGAAAATGAATTCTAAAGGAGAAGAGTAGTACCAAATGGTGCCCTATGTAGAAGTGAGCAAAGAAAAATTGTTGTTTTCATAATATAACCTCAAATTCAGCACCCAAAAATCTACAAGAAACGGTGTGCTTCACTCAAGTTTTTGTTGAACTATGTAATAGAGGTACACTTGGAAGGTAAATTAAAAACTGAAGGGACCAAAAATAGCCATTTTATATCAAGATTTTTATTTTTAGGTTATTGAAAATGGCAATTGTTAATTTTTTTCGGTCACGAATAACCGTTAAATTTGGATTTTTATTTTCTTCGGTTAAATTTAATTGTTATTTCGGGATTTTTTTCGATCAAAATAATCGTTAGCTTTAGTTTTTATTTTTTCTCTAATTTTTAACTGTTACAATGGAGGCTGCGTGTTTATGGCCGATTTAAATATTTTGTGACCTAAAATATTAAGTACAAAAATAATGGTTAAAATATGTTTGTATAATCGAAAACTTATCGAAAAATGTATCGAAGCTTTTCAAGAAACGCGGTCCACCTTCGAGGGACTCGGAATTGAGACCAAATATTTTCGTCGAAGCTATAAAACAGACCAAATTTTATGACTTGCCTAGAGAAGTTGAACTAAATTTTCTTTGTATGAAGTTTGAGGCAGTTTACTATCTACATACATAGTTATGTATGTATAGTACGTATACAAGTCAAGTGTAGTGAGTTGCATTCTAATCTAATTCGAGTTAGAGCTCTGTTACAGTTACTACACTATATATACGAATACGCCAATATTTCCGAATTATATGTACATACATATACACATTTGTGGGTAGGTATAGGAACTTGTGTTCTTGTGCTGATACTAGCCAATGTTCAACGTAGTCGTTCTGTTAGCCTACTACCAAATCAAATGCGTCGCTCTTAATATACATATATGTATGTATGTAGACGGCAGGAAAAACGTTGAATCGCCGCCAGCAATGAGAGTGTTGGCTGCAAATGTGGTGGTCCCAATATATATGGATATGTATGTACGTATGTGGGTATGTACTTTTTGCGTGAGAGCTCACTTAATAAATTAAAAGTTTTATTCGATTTTCTTAAACCATGTGCAACAGACAGCGTATTACTATAAGAGGTGTATACATATACATTGATATGTATGAATGCATTTACTAAATAAATCTTTGTGATAAAACTCTAAATAAAGTACCTACATATATGGTAGAATATACTTTTAATATTTTCGGTTGTTAAAATGTCCAAGATAAGAGATTTAAACAATGGTAGCCACATAGTATAATGTAAAACTAATATTTACATACCTATTGTTATGCATACATACATTCATACATCGTACTTGAAATAATTAAAATCCTCAAAGTAAAGTGCAAAAAGTCCCAAAACGTACATACATACGTTTTGTGTATGCATACATACATACATTCATATATACTTATATAAGATGCAAATACATACATAGAGACAGACACCTGCAAGTACATAACATTCGTTTCCCCAACGAAATTAGGGCAAGTTCGGATATCCGTATAAATTTTATAAGCTGCACTTCGTAAACCGGTAGACACAGAACGAAAATGTTTAACGTAGCCGGTTTACAAACTCTGGAGCAAATGGTGCATGTAATCATAAAAATGTTGTTTTAAGTTAAAAGTACATTGACATACGTATGTATACTATATACAGTTGCGTGCAACTAATTAACAACGATGCTTACTCAAATACAAACAGACAGAGTTTTAAGCCCTTGTCTACAACGTCTTAGTAAATAGATACCATATACATTTAAAATACATATGTACATAAGCGTGGTCCAAAAATGCGTGTGAAAAATTAAAGTCGGAATTTTAGGATTGTTCTATACCGAATAATATACCCCTACTATTTTATTTTGAAATCAAAAAATATTTAGGGAGTGCTCAAAGCGCTCAAAATTTTTCATGTATTTTTTACATATGTACATATGGGGAAAAAACAACTTTTCATTTGAATAAAAATATTGTCAATCGGAAAACTCTGTTTCTCCTTAGGAGATTCCCAGTAATAATACCCAATTGTTTCTTTAACCATTTTTTATGGTACTTATATTTTATAGGTCTGCCAAAACCCCCAGAAAATGCAATAGGGGGACCAATAAAAATCCTTAGGATTACAAAATGGTTAAATAAACAACTGGATATTCATGTTGGATGTCTCCTGAAGAAAACCAGAGTTTTCCGATTTAAAAATATAGATTTTCAACAATTCTCTACCATTTCTACGAAAAGTAGTTTTTTCCCCATATAAAATATATGGAAAACTTTGAATAAAACAAATAAATAGGTGTATATTTTTTTCGGGATAGAACAATCCTAGGGGTGGCGGAATTAAAATTCCGACTTTACTCTTTTCCGGACCACTCTAATGTACATATGTATGTACATATGTATATGCTAACTTTAAAGCTTAACTGGGCAATTCTGGCTAAGATAGTTGCAAATCTTTAGTAAGACAATTGAAAGATAGTAGGCAAGATAGTTTGGAAGATTATGTTTATTCTGGCACGAAAGTAGTAGAAAAAAACCTCCTTCGCTAACTTTCATTGGTGAAAACCTCCTTTGACAAAAATCACTTGAGCATGTTCGCAATGGCCAAGTGATTAAAGCTCTGGCGTGCAATTTGAGAGACCGTGGTTCGAATCATGGGAGAGGGGATTTTTTTTAAATTAATTTTTTTTTGTTATTTTGATTGGTTTCTTTTTTATTTTTGGACTTTATTTCTTAAAAAGAAAAATATATATATTTTTTTCATTTAAATTTTAGAAATTTATTTTATACATACATATATTTTTTATGCATGTAATGTTTTATATAATTTTCCCTTTTTAGATTTTTTTATTTCATTTGTTTAATATTTAAAAACTTATTTGAATAATTTTTTTAGTATTTATTCTTTTTAAATTTAATTGATTTTTTAATTTTCAGTTTTTATTGTTTTAAAAAGATTTTTTTTATTTCATTAATCTAAATTTTAGAAACTTTTTTTTTATATATTTACATACATTTATTTAATATTTTATTCATATTAATTTTAATAATCTTTCAATTTTTAGTTTTATTGTTTTAAAAATAAAATATTCTTTTTTTATTTCATTTGATTTTTAAGAACCCAAATCTTTTATATTTTTTTATTTTTTAATTCATTTAATTTGGGAAACTTATCATATTCTATATATCACAGATTTTTTAATTGAACTTAGCTTTTGAAAACTTATTTTATTTTTCTTTATTATTTTGTTTAGTTTTCTTATTTAAACAAATTTTTTGATTTTGTAGTTTTAAAAAGAAAAACATTTGTATCATTTCACCTAATTTTTAGAAAATTATTTTATTAGTTTCTTTTCTTAATTTATTTTTTTAAATAATTCTCTTTCCATTTTTAGTTTATATTGATTTATAGAGTTTTCTTTTTCTACATATTTGGTGCAATCTTATTAAACTTTTTTCATCAGAAAACAGTAAAACTTTCATAATTTTCATAATTTTTTTTTAATTATCTAAAAAATTTTACACTTGAGTTTATATCGTTTTACGGGAGAATGTACAGTATTTTAATTAATTGAAAGATAATAAAAATGAAATAAACAAAAAAGCATTGTCCCTATTCAAGTGCATTAAAGCGTCCGAAGAGCACCTATGCACCAGTGATGTTCGGTAAAATCACAAGCTGAATCCCACACTCCAGAAAGAGTTAGTACTACAGTCGGAAAATTTAATTCTAGCAAACAAAATCTCTACAGAGTCAAGGTTCTAGAAAAAATATGTGTTTTAGAAACAATAATTTCTTACAGACTATATAACAATAAAGCTTCTGAATTCGTTCAATCCTATTAATATGAAACTGGTGAAAAGGACGCCAGATTATTGTTGCATACTCCAAGTGGGATCGCACAAAGGAGTTATA